AAAGCATAAAAGCAAAGAAATTGAACGATTGTGAAACAAAAAAAACGAAAATGGAAAAAGCAGAAAAACTTAAGTAAATTTTCAACACTGACGACAGTTACCCTATTCAATTGTACATTTTCTCTCGAAAGTTTTTTGTTTAATTTTACATTTTCTCTAAAATAACTTAAAATTTTATTTATTATACTTTGTGCGAATCCAGAGCGGTAATTCTGATGCGGATCAAAGTTCCTTTAAAATAATCTTTCCGTTAATTCGGAATTTGTATTTTCCATGGTTTATAACATACATAAAACAATGTAAATGTTATGTGATAATATATCAAAATCTATGATGTATCAAATAAATAATAAAAACTGTTCGGTAAAAACTGCAATTTCTGGATTACAAAAATTGTACAATCTTCCCCAGAATATAAAAACGGCGCAAAGTTTCTTGAATATATTAACTAAAATTTTAATAAGAAATCCAACGTACAAAATATGTATATTTATTTTAAAATGTTATAACAGAGTTATAGCATCTATAAAATTAAAGTAAAGACTTAATTGAAGTCACGATAGCTCAAGTGGTTGAGCAGTGGCGTATTGAGCCGAAGGTCGTGCGTTCGAATCCCGCTCGTTACACTGGCTTTTTTATCTCAACCAATACCTTACATAATGATTAATTAATTGAAATAAGTTATTTGGTCAATCGGACCACGAATTCCAATGGATACAAAATTAAAAATGGAATAAGGTTCCATACAATGTCAAATTATGACTAAAAATAAATTTCTATCTAATCCAATAAATAAAATATAATTTAAAAATGGGGGACCGGAGTTCGATTCTTACTCCTGGAATTTTCTTTCACGATCACCTCTTCCCCCCCGCAAAAAAAAATGATGATATTACTCCAAACATACTCTGTTCTGGCTAATATGTGAATCATAAAGCCATAAAAAATGCATTATTGCGTGTTTCATCAACCACGAGTTTATTCCACATTTATTTAAATTTTTGTGCAATTATAAGAGATATTCGTCACGTTTATCTTCAGCGTGAAAGTATTTAAATAAAATAGTTTAAATAGAAGAAATCGAAATTCGTACGGGCCCCAATTCACGAGAGGGCGATAAATTTTCCGAGCGTTTCCATAAATTCCAAATGTCCATAGAGTAGAACAAACATGACAAGGGTTGAATGTGATTTAGTGCGGGTATTAGAAAACAATTTTTATGACCGATTACATAAGGGCTCATTAACGAAAATAATGATTCCGAAGAATGGGCGATATTTTATCCTAGTCGGTAACGGCGCGGCGGCAGGTACTTTCGTTTATTGAAGGTCTATCTAACAGCTGTAATTTTTCGGTCCCCCTAAAAATACCTTAACGGCTAATGGTTTAAACACCATAATTTCGCTTCACACTTCCTAAATTGTCGTGTTGAGGTCGGATGAAGTCATGAGACGGACGAATATCAGTATCTGGTGTGCATTTTAGCGAATCCCACAGGCCTTCGTTTGTCTTGGAATGTTTTCAGGACTGGTAATAGCCATCCATCCTCGACTCACACAACTTCTTCATCCATTTAGTTTATACCAGAATGTTTTATAGTTCAGATTTTGGCTTCTCAACCCCGCCAATGACGGCATAAGGGCCAGAGCCAAGAACGGCCGTAAATTACGCTCGTTTGTGAAGAATCCTCGGTGCCCGGCTTAAAAAGCTCCAGTGCCGTTGGGAGCCCGGGACCTGGAGAAACTGTTGCAAGGAAAAAAGTTCGTCGTTTGAACAGTAAACAAGAAAACATTGCAACATGTTTTTTTTTATATTGTGGTTAGTATTCATGTTTTTTCATACGGCTTTCAGGACTAAATGAAAATTAGATTTTTTTAAACAATTCATCCATGGCTCCAAAACCCATAAAGGAACTGGATCAGGCGTTTTTTGCACAAGACGAAAACATAGAACAACAATCTCATTATGGAACTACACCTCGGTCTTTCAAGCATAAATACAAGTCATCAATGCTTGTCGAAAATCTTAAAAGAGGCTACACTGACTGGCAAAGCATTAGCATGTAAAAAAATCCCATTAGACTTAGTCAGATGCACCAAAAATCTCCAAAACCTGGAGAAAAAAAAATCTGGAGATATCTTGGGTACCAAGAATACCTATACCAGGTACAAGGGAATTTTGAGTATAAAAAAGTAGACACAGTGGCCACAGGAGGATCTGCAAGACCATAGGCCCTGAACTTATTCTTGGTACAACAAAACCAACTACATAATCCATGACAGAATGGATAAAAAACTCTATGGGTGCTAGGGACAGCAAACTTATGCTAAAACAACCCTTACTAAGGCTGACAAATTCAATGCTACAGTTAAAGGAGAGAGAGCTAAACTCAGAGGAGTACTGATAGGACTACAGGTCATTGGCAATGAGCATATTCAATGGTGATACCATCTGAAGATGATTCAATGAGCAGGAAGAAACATCCACCCATATCGTCTTCGAATTAGAAGCAACCGCTCAATGGAGACCCTGGGATACAAAGAAAACCCACATTGTAGCAACGACAGTCAATGACCTAGTTTTCTTTAAAAGAAGGATCGAATCGACAGACTGAACGAAGGAACTAAGAGTACAATAGCCTGAAGGCTGCAGTCCTTGGGGAACATAAAGCCCAACTTCCTGGTCTCCTTTTCATCAGTATCATCATTATCATCAATTAATCTCTGAGAAATAATCAAATAACCCCAATAAATGAATTGTTTCTATGTTGATTTTTATTTTATGAACTTCTCTCGAAAATGTTAAAATGTACGTGTTTCCCCATCAGCAGACTTCGGACAATAAGCACAAGATATGTCTATCCAATAATTTTATGAAATTCTACCCGATAAAGGTTTTCATAAAAATGGTGCAGTATTGTTTTCAAAATTAGTAAGTCATTTGACGGTCATTATTTACGATTTGAAATATGATAATTGCGGTCGGTCCTGCAGAGGACAGCAAGCAATTTTGAAAGGACTCTCTGGCTGGTCAAAAGTCATTTTGAGTCCGGGCTCATAAAAAATACATTCAGTCGTTGGGCGTCCAGGTGGTCATTATGCATTCATACATACCCCAAGGTCGGTCTCGGTATCCCTCGTGGTCAATGCGTCCAACGATTAGGATCCTTCTGACAATCCTCGTCGGCTCGGCCGAGGATCGGGCACACCGCGCTCGCGCCGTATTCAATTTGCTCCCGGTTTCCTTTTTGAACGGGTCGCCTTGAGATAATAATTAACATTTCGCGGTATCTTCTTATCTGATTCATGAAACAGGCCTCGCACGAGTTACTTAAGTCGCTTCTTTACGAAATATTCTCCCATGATAGCAGATCGGTTTCGTTTTCGTTTCGTTAACCAACGCCGGGTAATTATGGATCGAGCTTTTTCTAATTTCCCTTACGCAACTTTTCGTTTCTGTTCTTTTCACATTTAAAAAAGTCGTATTATAAAATATGTCTGAAACGAACAACCTAGACGTAATTATCAACGGGGATTCAGGCCAAAGAAAATACCGTCTCCGTTGCCAGTAAACAATATCCCCATTACTTTTTGATAAAAGTTTCGTTTTTACAATTTTGATTTTATCTCAACTAAAAACCTTAATTAATTATAATGTATTAATTTGTCAAGCGGACCACGAAATTAGTGAATTTAATGAATTAAAATGAAGTAAACTTCACTAAAGCTCTCCGTGGCCATTTCATTTGTCGCCGAGAATCCAATCCGATTACACGACGTTTGAAAAATGGCAAAAAGGAGGGAAAATTCAAAAGGTGAGGTTGAGATGGGAAGTTAGTGTCCGAGTGGATCGAGGTGACGATAGTTCAAGTGGTAGAGCAGCGGCGTATCAAGCCGAAGATCGTGGGTTCGAATCCCGCTCGTGCCATTGACTTTTTTATCTCAACTAACAACCTTAATTAATTGTAATGTATTAGTTGGTCACGCGGACCACGAAATTAGTGAATTTTGATTAGGACAGCCAACGATTTCGATTGTAAATCAATTTTAAAAAAACCACAGCAATACCTGGACGAGGCTTTACACTACACAAAATAGAAAAACCGGTAATGTCAATGCTTCCCATTTCAGAGAATTAACTAGGCCTTAAATTGCTTCATTTTCGAAAGAAATCGAATTAAACTTATTCCAACGTTTCTCACGTTTTAGGCTTTTAACTTGGCGGACAAGTTGAGTTTAACTTTTATTTAACTTTTACGATATTGTCCTTATGAATTATTCAGAATTCAACCGCTTGCGTGGTTAAAAAATACGCCTTTATTGCCAGTCAAATTAAATTTAAAAAATAATTAAGTTACCGGAGGGTATTTCTACTGCTGCTATTGTTCTTATCCTATCCTAAGAGTTAACATTTTGTCTTTTCTTTTTTTTCAAACATTTTTGGTAAATCATGACAGTAGTGCGATTCAATGTTAATTGTAATAGAATATTATAATACCTCAGTGTTTAACACATATCTGTGGAGTCACTCAAACACTGAAGATGGAGAAATGACTAAATTGGCAGGTCAGGATGGGTAACTATAAAACAATAGGTGCATCACCCCGCAGACCACAGGAGGAATCTCACAATCTCAGGATAGTTTCTAGAGAAATTAAAAATTAAAAATCCCACATGACCTATTAAGACAAGTCTTAGTGAGAGTGTAGTTTAAAATAAGGATAATCGGATTAAACTGATTGCATGTAGATATTAAGAATATTACCGTGGAAAAAAAGTAATAGTGATTGAGTGACATCGGTGCGGTCTAAGACCGGGTTATATCTAGTAATGATGGATAAGCGGCTTATTCCCCTACATGAGCCTTCAAATTGACACCAATTACTAGCAGAAGCCATCCCCGGTCCTCCCTTCAGTGTTGGGTTTCTAATTGCGAGTCGCCCCCGGGTCGGACTCAGAGAGGAAAATGAAAAAAAAAAAGAAACACAAAAAAGCTCTTACCACATCTGGGGTGCTCGCGCCGTCCGTGTGGGATGTGGAGTCCGCATTGCTTCGTCCGTCGTTTCCGTTGGCGGGCGTACCCATTTCGGCGAGGGGTTTCGAGGATTCTCTTTCGTCGATGACGAGATCTATTGGCATCTTACCCTTGAGGCAGCTGATATAGCGGTGGCAGAAGTTGTCACACAACTCGTGTACCTGTAGACACAACACGATAAGACTTTGGGTCGGAAAATAAGCGTTTCCAATAAGCCACAAAGTAAGCATCTATTTTGAATGAAGTTCTCGCGTACAGCTATGATTACACACAAGACAATAATATTAAGAGAAACAATTTTCTACAATCCCAAATCAAACGTTGAACCACCCATATCGTGCAAGAACTTCATTTTATTTTGAAATTTTTCTAAAAAAAAAATCCTCACCTTTTCTAATTCTAATAAATGGAACCGTAAAACTTGTATTGCTTGAACCATCTGAAACAATATATAATATCTTATTAATTAATAACCACGTTATAAGAAATATATGTTAATTCTAAACTCTGAAGTGTGTGACGATAAGATTGTCTATCTGTGTGATAAATTTCTTTCAAAGATTGACATTGAACTTTTTTTATATATGACTGTCTGAGTACTGGGTGTATGAGACGGTTTGAAACAAAGACCGACTGATAAAAGCATAAAAAATTCTTTATGAAGACATCAATGTACATTTGTATACCAACTAAGTGTACTACGTTTGACTTATTCAAATGTGAAAAATAGAGGGGCAAAGTATGGCAGGTTAGGAAGAAGTCAATCTCTGGGTCCTCAGAGAACGGGTCGAAAAGAGAAAAGGCCGTGCTAACGAGGCTGCACATAGGTCATTCAAGAATAACTCACGAGCACCTTTCGGATACTTTTGGGCTAGAGGATTTTTAAATGTTAATTTATTGGAACGAATGTTACTTTATTCGCGTGAAAGGAAAGGGGTTTTAACACGTCACAAGGAATATGGAGAACTCTGGGTTGTGTGTGACGTCTGGTGAGTAAAAGTAAGTTATTAGCGCGAATGGAGTGGGTTCGACCAACGCCACGAGGAATAGTGAATGTGACCAGACTTTCATATTAGTGTATATATTTATATTGTATGTTTTATATGTACTCTCCAGTTGACAACCTAACATACAAATGAGACGCTTGTATTTTAGGATATCAACTTAGTTTTCACATAAAAGCAGATAGTCAGTAACTAGGTCGAGGCGCTGAAATGGCTGCAGGTTAAAAAATACGCGTTATGGGTCAGGAAAAGAAGTGCCCAGGACCGGCGATGAACTCAGCTGTTTGTCGGTTCCTAAACTTCCCACATTATACATATATAGTGAACAAAGAATGATTAATAAAAGCGAGAGTGTACCAAAACCGATCTCTCCACAATAACATGACGATGCCGTTCTCCAATGGATCAGGGAAAAGATAATATGGGGGAGGATGAAAGCCCATTTGAAAATATTCTCGGTTTCTTCTAACTTGTACATTTTTAATAGGGTTTTGCAACAGCATAGGTGATTTACCCCTGGGCTCTTTTAGGAAAAGACAGCCCGTTTGTAGATATGTCGGATTCGAATAGAGGGCATCTCACAGTGATGAGCGCGCTGTCACCGCCCTAGCCGTTAAGGCCATCGAAGCCGCTCATAACTTAGAAAAAGAAAATAGATGCTCGATTATTTCCATTAGTTTTTGTTTCATTTTGATGTAAAAAGTTTATCTGATACCAAATAAAGCTTTGTTGTACGCTTTACTCCAACTCTGCATGAACAATTGCAATTTGTTAAAAAATCACATGTAAAAGAAGTTCAATTAAAAAAATGGGGATACATAGAGTTGTTATTCAATAATTAAAGCTCAAAAAGGTAATTGCCGGGCGGCCTTCGTGTGACATGAAAAGGGGATTTAATATCGGGCTCGAATGACGAATACAAATGGGCGCGTTTATATTAAAATGAAATCAAAAACTACAAAATTGTCTGATGAAGACGGACAGGCGGGTGTAAAAGGCCGAGGGAATAAACGGCTCTGACCCACATTGGAAAAACCTCGTTTACACATCAATATAAAAGCCGGGGATGCGAGGGATAATAACAGTTTAGAAAATATTTGTGGGTGGTCGTGTGGCTCGTACCGGACGGATTTATGAAGAGTTCGGTCAGCCGCATATACTTCCAGTAGATTGAGCAAGACCCCAGTCGGCTGTCACTCAAACTTTTACTGTTACGTCCCGTTCCCGATATCCACCGCAAACACACGCCCACCCTGGGCCCTCTGATCGTATATCAACCGGATTCGCCTTTAAACCGACCTTATTCCGACGTCAACCAGTTTAGATTTGTTTACACTTACCAGTGAATCGACTTCGGGATCCGCATTGTAAAATGGTTTCTCTTGCCTTATCTGTCAACAAAATAAAATACCATCATTAATCAGTCAACAAATTACATAACAAAAATAAACACAAAATATTCATTGATAGGCAAAAAGTTCCACCCGATTGATTTTTTTTTTTTCATGTTCTCATTAAAAGAAAGTTCTGCCCTAATTTGTCTCATTGTTTTTATAAATATATATTTCTTTATGCTATGATTGAAATTGAGAAAATCGATGACAGGTAAACACACTTAATCCTTAATCCAAACCATGGATAAAGGATTTTTCAATGTTTACTTTTGACGGAATTTAAAATGTTAATTCAGACTCATTTGAATTCTGAAGCAATAATCTTTCTAGTTTTCATCTTTGTTTTCTTAATTTCAATATTTAAACTTAAATATGCCACGCAGTGCTGATCTTGTGCGTGTTGTGTCACTGATGAAGGACGTTCCATCAGGTTTGCGGCTATTGCCATCGGAGTTCCCTGGGAAACTGCGAGACGCCGTTACACATTTTCCAGAAGCTGGGTCCTACCATAGAAGGATGACCTAGGGCACTAACCACAAGATGACCGTTTTTTGACTTTGAGAATTTTGCGAAACCGGCACCTTACTGTTGTCCAAGCGATTCGTCACCTCCAGGAAGTTCGAGGCCTCCAAATTTCTGAACGTACTGCTCGAAGAAGATTAAATCAGTTGGACTGATGGGTTTTTGGCCCGGAAGAGGACCAGAATTGACCAGAACACACAGAGTTGCACGGCTCGCATTTGCTCGAGAACACAGCCATTGGTATTTAGACGACTGACCTGCTGTACGTTTTACAGATGAGAGCAGATTTATTCTAAGACCTCTAGATGGGCGTGAAAGAGTGGAAAAGGCGAAATGAAAAGTACGAAGCTTGTAATTTTTTCGAGAGCCAACCTTTTCAATGTAGCTCAGCGATGGTGTGGGCGGGAATTTCAAAGGAGAGTCGCACAGACTTGTTGTTCCTGGAGGGTCTTTGGCTACTCGCTATGTGGATGAAATTTTGGAACATCATGAGTTGCCTGTTCTCGATGAAACCAGCGACAATCTTATTCGAAAGCACGATAATGCACTCATATCGCTAGCATAGTACAAACGTACCTTCAGCATCAGGGTCTTAGCCTGGCCAGCCCGTTCTCCAGACTTGAACCCCATCGAACATTTATGGGATGACCTCAAAAGACGAATAACGTCCATCACTTCCTGATACATTCCACGATCTTGAAAGGACTCATCGTGAAGAATGGGATAACCTCTAGCAAAGCGACATTGCCAGACTGGTAGAAAGTAGCCGAGGCGTCTTCCAGATGTAATTAAGGCAAGAGGAGGAAATACGGGATATTGAAATGTTAATTAAAAATCTAATAAATAAATTTTATCTGTCCGTCTTTTTTTCCTTACCAATTTACTTTTTTTTACCTTTTTTAGACAAACACTCCCATTATTGAACGTTAAAAAACATGAAACTTTGATTAATATATAAAAATATATACAAATCAAGTTATATTACAAGTGGGTAGAATTTTTGCCTGTCAGTGTATATACAATTTCATTATCGACCTTCATCTTTACAAACAACAAATTCAAATAATCTTCCCATTTCTTCCCAATGTCTTAATATTGGCACAGTCGTTTTAATGCAAGAATTATAGATATAGACGTTGTTTTGAGTGAGAAAAACGTTAAATCTTTCAAGATTACAACCACAAGAACTCCTAGATGTAAATTAAATGTCTCGTAGTGACGCGAAGACGCTGAAAAAAATCACTTCAGATGAAATCATTTGAAATCATTGAAAAAGGTAATCGTTGGAATATTTTAATTTTTAAATTGAACACATATACAATTTTTTTACATATCGCAACAAAAAGGCCGAAAATACTCCAGATTCCTTAATTATTCTTGGTGACATAGCCGACATTTGGAAGATCCGTCTAATTGGGGTAAATGTTGGGGGCAGAGGTGCTTAACCGACCAGCTATAATACCATTGAGGGGGCGATTAGATGGACTCCGCTGATAGGCAAAGTTGCTCTTGGATCACAACGGCTTACAAAGCACAAATGTAATTGTGTTCGACTGAACGTCCGCAGGCCGTGTTGATTTCTGTCACAGCCTTGTTTTAACCTAGGACCACTTTCCTCTAAAGGTGCGCTATTCGCCGAATCCCTATTGCCGAATATTTGTCAAGAGATGCTCGTCTTGGCATTCATCAAATAGCGTGCCTATGTGTACACACATGCGTGGTTTGTACAACCACCCAGTTTGTGCAGCAACAGCGAATACGTATTTGCCAAGTGCCGTGCGAGTCCTCAACTTACTACCAATCGTGATGGGCAACAGTGAAACCGTCATTGCTGCAGTTGAGGTTACTGTTTTATGCAGTGGCTACAAACTAATTGAAAAAAATATATTTAATTATATTTTTATTTATTGCTTTATTTATAAAACAATTTATGATTAGTAAGAGAAGCTTTCCAAATTATTGGTTCTATTTCGTAAAAATCGAGAGACTCCAAAACTGTAGCCTTGGGCCAATCCATTCCTAATTTAAAAAGACTGTTGTTATTGTGTAAATTAATACACCTATACTAGTTAGGAATCTTTCATTAATGGCAAATAAATAGCATTAAATAGAAGTATACACTTTCTGCTGATTTTGGTAACAGTTGGTTTAAGGAGGTTTAAGGTTTGGTGATTTGGATAAAGATACGTACAGTTAAATTTGATTCCCGAATGTGTGGTTGGTTTGAGCGCGGTTACTTAACAAATATTCGTGCACTTTGAAGCGGACGAGAAGACCGACAATAAGCATCCATCCACACTAGTCGGGATTCGGCGAAACCTTGTCCGGCATTCGGCGAATACCCATGTCTGGAGCCACCTTTATAGATGGTAATAAAGAATTACGACAAGATTATATAAATTTAACAAGACGTATTTCGACTTTCTTCCATTTGCGTTATGTAAATGTTCGACGACGGTTCCGAACCGGCTTTATCATCTAGTTCTCCGTTTTATTCGCACTCAAAAGCTCAGGAGCTAAGAGTGGTTAAACGGAAAGGGGGAAGAAAACGGGTTGACGGAGATAGAGGAAATCGACTGTTGAGGGAGGAGAGCGGAATGTGAAATATCAGGATGTGTAAAAGGAAGAACTGGTAAAGGGAACGTGATGGTTGTTTGAAGACACCCCGCTATGATCTCTCCCCTTCACCCACCACCCCACAATTGCCTCTATTTAAGGTAGACAACTGTTTATTCCTCCTTTATATTCCTTTTCCTTCCTAATTCTCGTCCGATTTCATCCGTGTAGCTTGTTTTGCCCTGAAACGCGCCCAATCCAGGTGGTAGAACAAGAGATTTAATCAGTCCGACAATAACACATTCAATGCAAAATAAACAAAAAGAAAAGCAGATATAAAAAAAAACTGTAACGTCCCCATCATAAAAATAGAAGGGAAACGACCGCTCTCTCCGAGGTGAATGCTTCATTTGACACCCTTCTATTCATGAACTATGGCAATATGAAAGAACAAGGTGATATGTCCTGGAACAGGGCCAACACCACATCCATCGATTTTCTATTTAAACGACTCGACTCTTGGTATTCACGATTTGTGTTAGATGTTAACGCTTGTTAATCGAGTCGAAAATGACCGGTAAGACTGTGCACGGCCTTTTCTTATTTCGAAGGTAATATGTTAGCTCTTCCGTAGAGCCACACGTAGCGACTGGTAAAACCAAAAACTGTTGTCAAACGTACTGAAGATTTGTTACTGTTGGTGAACTTTTGGTTTTCAATTGTGAAGAAAGAGTGTGATTTTTTTTCAAAAATGTCAAAAGTCAGTCGAAAGACTAATCAAGTCTTTGATTCAAAATGCAACCTTTTTTCGCGTGAAAAATTTTACGATGAAATGGGAGAAGTGGTCGTTGAATGTTTGTAGGACAGATAAATTAAATCACAAAAATCGCTGCCCTACTAAAGCAAAGATAATATCTAAATTCAGTAATGAACATCCTTACTACATAGGTTATGGAACGTAAATACTTAATTGATGAAGATCCAATGCCTCCACTATAATGAAAATGTGAGGATAGGTCAGAAATTAACAAAAACAATATATTGGTCGAATTTAATTAAAGTGTATTTAAAAATAAAAATACATATCAAATAACCAGCTGTTCATTTCATGCCGACCATGTCTGGTACCTAAGTCCCAACGGCTGACAGTCTGACTACACTGCTATTCGATTTGACTTGGAAATATAAAAGAGGCAATTTAACTCTCAGTCCTTCTGTGAAAGGGTAAAACGGATCAGTTGCTGTTCCATCACCAAAAAACCGGCAGCGTAATTCGGGTGGTTGAAGAAAACATGCTTCCATACATCCAATGGATGAATCCAAGTTCACCTCTAACGGCATCCTAATTGGAATAATTGTCGAACATAGACAGAGGAAAATCAGAGAATTTCGAATTCTTGTCATCATCAGGTGGTTCATAGTATCAACGTTTGGTGTGGACTTCCCGGATATTAAATTAATTGGGCCTTATTTCTACGAAAATAATTTAAATAGTGCTCAGTTGCTCAAGTTTTGAGGGAGATTTTACCAACACTATTAGATGATGTCCTCTGCAACAACTATAAAGAATGATTCTCCAGCATGATGGATGCCCCGAACACACAATTCTTTGCAGGTGAGACGTGATTTGAACCTTTACTTCCGGGATAAGTGGATAGGACCTCACCCGATTCACCTTGGTCACCCCATTTAACTCCACTTGACTATCTTCTCATTTAAAAAACCAGTGTCTACGCCAATCATAACCCAGCAACGTAAGGCAACAGTTCGAACATGAAATGTGATTAATGAATAGCAAACCAAATGACTGTTTTTTCTCAAACCTTCTGCCACAACATTGTCATTTTTTTGGACCAATTTACAATCCGATTGGATCATTGTTTTCAGCGTAAAAAAATACTTTAAAATGATGTGTCGAG